GGCGGGCTCTGTGCGGCGTCTCGCGCCTTCCACTCCTCGCCATCAGCTTGCAGCTCGGGATCCGAGCTCCGGGTGCGCCTCCTTGAGGGCGGCGCGGCGGGCGCCCTGGAAGTGGAAGTAGGACGAGACGTTCTTCTTCGGCCCCGCCGACTTGGCCTCCTTGTCCGCCTTCTTGGACTCCTTCTCCTGCGCCTTGAGCAGCTTCTCCTGCGGCGGCAGAGGGAGAGGAGGCCGGGGGCCGTTGGGGGGCGGGGCGGCGGAGCCGCACGGTGGGAAGGGGAGGCGAAGGCGGCGGCGGCGAGGGCGGCGGCGGCGAGGGGTGGCCGTGTCGTGCGGGCGGCTGGGGCGAGGAGAGCAGGGAGTGAGACGAGGCGGCAGGCGGGCGGCGGTGAGGGCGGCGGTGGAGGGAGGGTGGGAGCGGAGGGCGGCGGCGGACCTCCTCCTTGGCCGCCTTCTCCGCCGCCTTGGCCGCCTCCTTCTCCACCTTCTCCTTGGCCGCCTTCTCCTTGAGGAAGAGCTTCTCCGCCTTGGACATCTCCTTCTTCGGCGCGCCAGCGGCGGCGGCGGCGGCGGCGGCGAGCGCCTTATCGCGCTTCTTCTGCGGGGAGCAGGTTCGCGGGAGGGTGGGAGGGCGATGAGAGAGTGGGCGACGAGCGACAGGCGGGGCTGCCCGGCCGCGGGGCGGCGGAGGCGAGGGAGGTGGCGCAGGAGTGAGGGCGGCGGCAGGCGACGTGGGTGGTGGTGGAAGCGGTGCAGTCGTGAGGGAGGCGGTGGCGAGGGCGGAGCGGATGGCGCGGATGGCGGTGGCGGCTGCGAGAAGTTTGCGGCGGCGATGGGCGCGACGAGGGCAGCTGCGCGCCTGCTCGGCGAGATGCATCCGCTCGCACTTGGAGATGAGCTTCTTGGGAGCAGCTGCCTTGCCGCCGGTCTTTGGGCCGATGCTGGGCGGAGGTGCGTCCGGCTTGGGCGGCGGAGCCTTTGCGGCTGTGCCGGGGGCCTCGTTCTCGGTGGCGGGCGGGAGGTTCTCGGTGGCGGGCGGGAGGGCGTCGGTCGACATGCTGGTGCGAAGAAGCGTGTTAGGACAACGGACTTTCGGAAGGCGCGAAGCCACCCGAATTTCTTTTTCATGAGCTCATCGATGTTCTCTCTAGCGCACATACATAACGAAGTACGCCGAATTTGTTTTTAAGGTGGCAGTCCGGGTTTCGCGGACAGGTGTCGTCCCACACGATGGCATCACGCTCGCACATGCCGACCGCCGCCACCGCGGCGCCGGCCACAGGCCAGCGCTAGGCAGCTGCCGGCCACACCGGGCCGGAATTGCCGGTAACCGTCGCCGCACACTCCTGCGTCCACGCCGCTGTGACGTCTGGCGACGAGGCGCCGGCCGCCAAGCTTCATCGCCAACGTGGTCGCTCGCTGGTCCTCTCGGCTCGGCCACGCGTCGGCCCAGCTCGCACGAGCTCCAGACAGCCACCGGTCGCCACGCGCAAAGTGTACGGGTCGCCGGCTCCCCGTTTTGCTCTCACGCTGGCCGGCGTAAAACTGTGCTGACAGTTATCAAGCCGTACCCGTCGCGTTTCGAAAGGGAGCCCTCGATCGACCCCTCTACACGCACCGCGCCACTGCTCTCCACAACTGCTACCGTCGACATCAAGCTCCTCGACTCGATCTGCGGCTACGACGGCGCTCTAGCTGCTGGCTCTCGCGGGCGTCTGGCGACCCGCTCAGGCTTGCGAAACGGCCGGCCGTGGCGACGTGTTTCGAGCTCGGTGGTCTTCTCCGCGCGGCTGGGCCCGCTCCTATATGGGGCTGATCAAGATCCGCCCCCTCACTGGCCGGCTCGTCCGCCGTCCCTCTGGGATGTGAGAGGCCGCTGGAGTCAACGTTACCCACCGAGATTTCGATGTAGACCCACCGATATCTCTCCGGACGACGGCACCGGCGGGCCCCAGAAGCTTCACGGACGGTGAGGCGGGCTGTGGTTGGAGCCACTGGATGGGAGGCGGGCGTGGCGCACCAGCGGCATGGCTGCGAGCACGCCGGCCGGCTCCACGGCACTGTGACCGCGGTGCTCGCTCTCGCGGCCGTCTCACGACCCGCTCGAGACGAAAACCGGACCGGCCGGTGCGACGCACCGCGAGTGGGATGGTCTTCTCCGCCCGGCTGGGGCCGCTCCTAGTCGGGGCCGACCCGCCCGGTCACTGGGCAGCGCGTGCGCCGGCGTCCTGGACGATGGTGTGCCGATGCATCCGGGAGGCTCCGCGGGGCTGCTCTAGGCTCTAGCAGCCTCGGGAGGGTCGAAAATCGAAGCCGGAGCGGCGGACCACGGAAGCTCCACGGACGGTGAGGCGGGCTGTGGTTGCCCCCCCCCGAGAACTACGGCTGTGCCGGGGGGCGAATGGCGCAATTTCTTTTGAGCTAGCCTTCGATGAAAAAAAAACAAACGCAAGGCGGACACATGGCATATGCTCTCGGGCCCGCAGACATCCCGCACACCCGCCGCCCCCGCGCGCGCCCCGCCCCGGCCGGGAGAGCTGCTTCATTCGCTGGTCAGCCACTCAGCGGCCTGGACCAGGCGATACACTCGCGAGAGGCTGCGCGAGCTGCGCGCGGCGCTCGGCTGGCAGCTGCGGACCGCCGGCAGCGGCGACGTGTCCGAGAATCTGCGATTTCTTTTCCGCCTCAGGACCTGTGGCTGCTGCGCGCTCGGCGCTGGCCGCTCTCCCCTTGAGGTGAGGGCAGTGTGCGGGCGGGGGGAGGTGAGACTGAGAGATACCGACGGGCGGGTCCACACCCCCTCTCCGCTCTCGCTCTCCGACTCCGTGGTGGCGCGTGCCGGGTGAAAATAAATAGAGCCTTTTTGAGTTTGACTTGATACGATCAATCCATCCCGTGGTTATCCGCGCTCGTCTCTCCGAAAAGGCGCCCATCGCGCTCGGCAGAGGGAAGCGGTCTTTTCGGCCGACGTCCCGCAGCGGCGCGCAAGGAAGCAGGCGCAGCGCCGGCGTGTCGCGCTGCATGGGCCAGCAGGGTGCAGTGGCGAGGGGCGGCGGGCTCGGACGTCCACCGAGTCGCTCCGCGCGCCAGGCTCGACCCCCTGTGAGACTGTGGATGATGCCTGGGACTCGAGCCTGGTTGGAATGGAACATCGGAAGAGCTTTGCATTACGAATTATGAATTGCAAAAAATGTTACGAGCGAGGTAAATCCGATGGCGATGCCGTTTGCAGCACTCTCGAACGTCGGTGGAGGGGATAAGGGATAAGTGAGTACCTGTGTGCCAGGAGAAAAAGGCGGGTACCCGCTGCAGGTCCCACACTAATAAATAAATAAATAAAACGGGCACGCCAAACGAGGGGTGGGAGAGAGGGACAGGGTCCCCACCTGCACGAGCAGGATCTTGGAAGGACGATCAGGGACACAGGGGAACGGGAGCGGGGAGCGCATCGCGACACGGAGGGGGGCTGGGCAGGGTTCACCCACACGACAGGGTCCCAGGGATTCCTCTCTCGTATAGGACAGGTTGCACCCGGCGGCACACTAAAAAGAAAGAAAGAAAACAGACAACCCAAGGGAGGGATGGGAGGACGGCACGCCGCCACCACACAGGGATTTTAAGGAGAGGTGTGTGGTGCGCTATCCGTCGCCCACCCTAGGGAGTCTGCCTCTTCCTATCTCTCTTCGCAGTCTCTCGCTGATTCTCGCTGCAATCTTCATGCCACCACGCGGTCGTCCCACCCTCGTCGTTCTAGTTCTTGTATAAAAGTCGCCGGAGGTATTTTTTTCGACGAGCAGCACAAACCAAGTCCAGGACATCCAGGACATCCAGGACACTGTGTGTGTGCCTGTGCAATGCTCTCGACGCAGCCGGCTTCCACCCTCACCTCCGCCACCGATCTCGGCGTGGCTGAGGAGAAGCTGGAGAAGTGGCGCGAGCTCGGCGGCGACGACCTGGAGCCGGTCCTCGCGAGCAGCGCCTTCGCCCTCCTCGACGCGCAGTGGATCATCAGCCACGCCGAGGCGGGCGGCGTCCTCGCCCACCGCCAGGCGCTGCCCGAGGAGGCCTTCCTCTCCCTTGCCGACCTCGTCGAGGCGACCGGCGAGTGTGCGGGATCGCTTCCCGTTGCCGCGCTCTCCTACCCGTGGCTGACCAAGGACCACCCCGACCCGCTCGGAGCGAACCTCTCCCGCGTCGCAAGGGCGCTCAAGGCCCTGCTCACAGGCGTTCGTTCCTTCCGGCGGCTCGGCGTGTTCTGGGACTTTGGCTCGCTGCACCAGCACCCCGACCCCATCAACGGCGTCATGCGCACCGACGAGCAGAACGCGCTCTTCAAGCAGGGGCTGGACTGCCTCGGCACGCTCTACTCCCACAAGTACACAACCGTGCTGCGGCTGACCTCGGCGGGCCAACACGGCGGCTTCTTCTCTCCTTTGCTGGCCTCGACCACGGGCACCAACGTGGCCGAGTACTTTGACCGCGGTTGGTGCTACACGGAGGCCAGCTGGGCGAGCCTGACGAAGAACGGCGCGCTCTCGCTCGACCTCGGCCGGATGCGCAACGAGAAGGAGTACGACTGCAGGAGCCTCATCCGCGAGTGCGTCCAGGGTGGCGGCCGGCGCCCTCCGCTGCTGCCGTCTGCGTTCGCGGTGGAGCTGGAGACGAAGAGCTTCACCAACGGCAAGGACGACAAGCCGCTCGTGAAGCGGCTGTACGAGGCCGCCTTCGAGGAGCAGTTTGAGGCGGCAGCCAGGCTGAGCTACGCCGACCTCGGCTGGGGCGACGCGGAGGCGGTGCAGCTGGCGGAGGTCCTTGCGAGCGGGGCAGTGCCGCGGCTCGAGAGGCTATATCTCAACGGCAATCAGATTGGCGACGAGGGTTATAACGCCCTGGCCGCCGCCCTCAAGGAGGGGGCCGCTCCGAGCTTGCAGGCGCAAGAGTGAAGCGAGCACGTCTGCCTTGGTTGCTTGCTCTTATAGCTACCCCTTCACCCCTCGCAGGTCCTCTGCGTAGACCGCACGCCGCCCGAGTTGGTAGATGTGTGCAGCCAACGCAGCATAAGCACGACGAGCACTCCACGGGGTGCCGCGTCTTTGGCGAGTCGAGCGGGGACCACCTCCGCCGCCCCGGCGGGCGCGCTCCCACCCCTCCCGCCCCTCCCACCCCTCCTACCCCTCCTTCCGGCGTGTGAGCGCCGCGACGCCGACGCAGTGCCCCACCGAGCGACCCGCCCCTCCCTTACGGTCGACCTTTCGGTTCTGCTTCCTTCCTCTGCCTCGAACGGTATGGTCTCATTTGCCCCAACCGGTGTCTCTGGCGCGAGAGGCGCGAGAGGCCACGTGCAGTCCCCCGAGACTTCGGAGAAGGACGAGGACGATATGATGCCGCTGCATCGCGCCGTCTCGAATCGCGCGTCGAAGAGGGTGGTGTTGGCGTTGCTGCAGGCCTACCCCGAGGCGGTCAAGGAGAAGGACGGGGACGGGAGGCTGCCGCTGCACTGCGCCGCCTCGACTGGCGCGTCGGAGGCGGTGGTGCTGGCGCTGCTGCAGGCCTACCCCGAGGCGGCCAAGGAGAAGGAGGACGTGCGTGGGAATCTGCCGCTGGACGAGGACGGGAGGCTGCCGCTGCACTGCGCCGTCTCGAATCGCGCGTCGAAGAGGGTGGTGTTGGCGCTGCTGCAGGCCTACCCCGAGGCGGCCAAGGAGAAGGACGCGTACGGGGATCTGCCGCTGCACTGCGCCGTCTCGACTGGCGCGTCGGAGGCGGTGGTGTTGGCGCTGCTGCAGGCCTACCCCGAGGCGGCCAAGGAGAAGGACGCGTCGAGCTGGGACGAGAGGCTGCCGCTGCACCGCGCCGTCTCGACTGGCGCGTCGGAGGCGGTGGTGCTGGCGCTGCTGCAGGCCTACCCCGAGGCGGCCAAGGAGAAGGACGAGGACGGGAGGCTGCCGCTGCACTGCGCCCTCCGACGCGCCGGCGCGTCGGAGGCGGTGGTGGCGGCGCTGCTGCAGGCCTACCCCGACTCGCCGTCAGATTCGCCGCGCGTCGTTCGGCGCAAGCTGGGGGACGGTGCGGCATCCTCTGCCCTCCTTCAGCCGCGTAGCGATGCGCAGACGCTCCAATAGCATCTACCCCTCGCCCGCGCTGAGTCGGGACGCGCGCGCAACGACCAACGTCGGCCTGACAGCGTTCCCACCCGCGGGCCTCGGTGTTTGTGGCGAGATAGAACTAACGCAGAGGAAAGAGCTGATAGCCGGGTCGCGGGTGGCTCACCATAAAAAGCCTGGAATTCGACTGCTTGTTGTGCGATAAATTCTTTTTTCGCACGACACTTTCCTGCTTTGTGCGATGGCGGCGTTGGACAAAAGCGACAACGAAGAGACGAAGGTGACGTCCCCCCCACCGGAGTCCCACGTCCCACGCCGCGCACGCAAACCGCTGCGAGCTCTGCAGCGCCCCATCCGGAGACTCTGGCCCACACCCTGTACGAGCTAGACGGTTACTCCCTCCGCGCCGATTCGGCACGCGGGAGATTGAGAGAGATTTTTAGCAATACGAAACAACTCTAACACTCACACATCTTTGTTCTTGGAGATTGCCACGTGACGGAGGGGTTATTCGAGAGGCTTCAGATACCCGCGCGGTTTTTTTCTTTTGGCGAAGGAAGCGCCTGTGCTGCTGCCCGGAACAGGCTACAGGCATAACGAGAGCGATGATCGCCGTGCTCCCGGCTGCGGGCAAGGCGGCGGCGGCGCTCGTGGTGGCGGCCGATGTCGCGTCGCGGCTCCAGCGGTCCATCCCCGCCTGGACGATCGGCAGCGACGCCGAGGAGGTCGCGGAAGCTGTGCGCAAGGTCGCTGGCCGCTGCCTCGAGGGAGGAGGGGAAGACGTCGAGCGGGCGCCACTGCGCTCGCCGTCCTGAGGCCCCTCCCCGAAAGGCAAGTATTAGCCACACGAAACCCGAGACCCCTCCCCCCCGCCCCGATCCCCCCACCCCCTTGCTCCCCTCCCCCCCTCGGGAGGGCCGAACTGAGGCGCCCGAGGGGACCCCGCAATTCCCTTCCCCCCTCGGAGGGCCGGACTGAGGCGCCGAGGGCCCCGCTCTTTCCTTCGCATAGCGGCCACTCTTCGGATCGCTGGTCGAGCGACCCGGGGGATGCCCCGCGCGCCTGACCCAGGCGCGAAAACGAATCTGCGAGGCGTGGCCGCTCACGCGGCCCGATGGGGAGGAGCGGGGCGGACTACGGGGATCGGCTTCTTACACAGCCCTTCCCTGCAGCGAGCCCCCCTCCAACCCACCCGCGCTAGGGTCTCGGGCGGCGAAGGGGTCACTCCCGACGACCTCGGGATCGAACTAGCCGCGGCAGTCGGAGAAGGGGCAACTCCGTGCACTGACGGTCGGCCGTCAGAAAACACGCCTCCGTGGCTCGGGTTACACCAATCCTCGCTACCCAACGCGGCCAAAGGATATCCACCTCGAGAACCTCGAGAACCTTAAACGAGGGATGGGGAAGGAGAAAGGCACTCCGGCAAGACACGTTTTTTTTTGCTGAACACTTCGGCGTTCGCAATGTCGCAGCTCCCCAGGTTACTGCTCCTCGCGCTCCTGGCGCCCGCCAGGGGCATGCTGGTGCTCGAGAAGGTGAAGGTGCTGATGGACGACATCAAGGTCTGCGCCTCCCGATGGTGCCGCGCCCAGCGGGGACACCCTGCGCGCGCGCCGTCGACCGCAGCCGCAAACAAAGCCAGTCCAGAGGGGGCCGCCGCGCGCGCCGCGTCGCCAAGCCTGGACCTCCCGTCCGCCCCGCCCCGCCGCCCTGCCACCCTCGCCTCCGGACAGCCTGCCCCGAACACTCCCCGAAGTGAAGGGCGGCGCGCCGGCGCGCCTTTCGCACCGCACCCGGGTGCACACCAGCGGGAGCGCCGCCGCCTCTCCGCAGGCGTCGCGCGAGTGGATCTCGAAGATCCATCCTGTCTGGAGCTTCATGACGGCCGAGGAGGCGACGCCCTCCTCTCCCCTCCTCTCCCCCCTAGTCCTCTCTTGTGCGCCTCTCTCCCTTGCCGCCACAGCCCCCGCTCCACACACCGCGAGCCCTCCTCGCCCCTCGACCCCCGCCCCTCCCCCCGGGCGGGGTGAGGAGAGGGAGGGCGCGTGGCCGAGCACCCCCCTTCTCAAGCGAGAGGGCCGCCCCTCCCTAGCACCCCCCGCCCGCCCGCCCCCGCCGCTTCCCCTTTCCCCGCCCGCCCTCACTCGTCCCGTCCCCCTCCCTGCGCCCGACCCGCTACACACGCGCCTTTCGTCGGGATGCCA